AATGTTTCATTTAATATACGGGACAAAAAAATGATAGTACCAGAAGTTGAGATGCATTTTGCATAAAATTTAAATTCAGATAAAATATTCCCCACACTATGGGATAAGTGTATTTACTAGAGTTAATTTTTTTCTCTCTGTTTATCAAAGCGATGAGAATAACATTAAAAACTATAGGTTGAAAAACTAGAGGTTCAGCTTAAATAAACAAATTTTAAATATATTAAATAATTAGAAAAAAAGTGGTGAAATGGAAAAATAAATATTGAATAATTATAAAATTAGTAATGCATGAAAGTTTTGACATATTACAACTAATATTTAAATTCTAAATTAGTAAAAAACTAACAACAATTTATAATAATTCGTGATGGTATATGTATTCGCTTCTGTATTAAAAGTATCCCACGATTCTTGCATAACTTAGCGTTTAAATCGGCCTTCATTTAAGAGTGCAGTGTATAACTAAACCGGAGGCAGTAGTTCCGCCAGAGAACGCATGATATATAAATGAATAAAATGCTTTTGAAATGATTGTTTTTGTACTATATACAACAGTAACTGTTAGTTGTAACAACTATTACCATATCTAATGAAACATTTCCTTATAACACAAAATACCGCATAACATTATATGATGTATGATATATGATTTAATGTTCCCTAATTTTCAAGGTATTTATAGCTAATATAGTATACAAAAGAAATATTAGTGGTGTGATTATTATAAAACAGTCACGCCTTCTGTGAGCGATTTTTATGTAAAACCTATAGATTTGATCAGTTTACCTCCACCTCTGCTGGGTTGGTTTGTTACGTGTGGGTCATGAATCGACATTAATGTCAAAGGTATTCGACAATAAATAAAATCGCAATGTCGCTGTGCGTATATGAATAAAGGTCTGGTCCGGCCGGTGGTATATTCTATAATCCAGTCTGGACGCAACATATATAACATACTGCTTACTCGTAAATCGTGTTCGGTCATCCTCTAGCTATAAATATTATCACGGACAATATACTACTAGCAAGCGTATCGAGCATGTCATTTTAACTAACCTTAACACGCCTTAGACAACTGGACACATATATGAAACATTGACATAGAATTACATATTCTGTATTATACTTTCATTTTTATTTTAGTTTCAATCTATAGGTATATATTTAAAGTTGAATAAAATAATAATACACAAATCCATTCGTTTCGGACATGAGTTAGTGACAGTCAGGATTGCGAATGATTTCATTAAAATTTTGCATTTTCGTCATTTAAAATGAAATTAATTACTCTAATTATTTTTCAGATAGTAAATTAATTAAAATAAAAAAAAATTGTTAGTTTAAAACATTTTTTAAAAATGTAGTAATTAAATTTTCAAAATAGAATTGTTTTGTGAAATCCGAAAACTAATGTATCAAAATTTATAATATTTGAGAAAAAAAATTATTAAAAAAAAAAAAAAAAAATAGAATAATTCGTATTTTGTAAATTCTCCGAAAATGTATTGATTATATTTATTCTTCTTATTTATTAAGAAAAAAGTGTCAATTATATTTTTTTCAGTTACTAATTTTTTCAAAAACTCTTTCTTCCTTTTTAATTTTGAATTCATAAAAAGTTACTTCAATCGACGTTCCTTTAGTTTCAATTAATGCAGCTATTAAATTTACTTAATTTTTCAAATATTGCATCAATGACTTTTCTTTCATTTCCAATTTTTAAACCAAGTATTCATTAAATTTTTTAAAAATTAATTTTTCATTAAATAAAAAAATTTAATCATTCAAATTTGTAAATTAAAAAAAAAATTAATAATAACATTATCTAACAAACTATTTACAATTTAATTATCAAATGAATGAAAAAATGGATTACGTTAAAAATACATTTTTTCAATCCTGATGATAACATCGCACTTAAAAATTAAAATTAAACCATAATAAAATGTATACAGTGCACATTTTTAAATCTTTCTTCATTGGTAGGGAACTTCATTGCAATTGAATGTCTAATATTTTTTTTACATGGGCAGTAATTGGATCACCGTTTAATGAACACAAAGAAGAGAGAATTTTTTATAACTCATGTATAGAGTATGGATGGATATTTCAACAATGCAAGCGTAAAAATTAAATGGTGATAATGGATATCGCGTTGACAGTTGTGAGGTATTAATACCGCTTGAATCCGCATGAATGCTTCGGAGCAATAGCATCAGTTAAGCGGTTGACTCGTTGAAACGAACAAATGCTCTCACTTCGATGTAGATTGGGTGTTCTTTTCAAGCTCTCTATACAAAGCACTCCTAAAAAATTTATATCCTTAGCACGTTTGCTTTGAAAAGGCTTTATTCTTTGGTAATAGCGTTAATAGTTCAAATGAAGTTTAAGTATAAAAATTTTTCAATTTCCCGCTAAATAAATCGTGAATTCTCCAAAATTAGAAAAGTTATTATCAGTTCCAAAAATAACTATTCAATTACCATTCCATGCAAATTATAAATTATTAATCCAAATACGAATTAATCTAAAAAAAATAGACATTCAAAAAGAAACCGAATCATTATTATTAAGACTTTTTTAAAATCCCTTTTAATTACTGACTAGCAGGTCATCCCGGCTTCGCACGGATATTAAACAAAAATTTTTAAATTAATTATTAGAAATATCTATCGTTGAAAATGATAAATGAACTCTTTGAACACTTATAGAAAATTACTATAAAATTTGAAGTCTGTAGGAACTACAGTGTGAAACTTAAAAATTTTCATTGTTAATACCCACCCCCGCAATCCCCTGTGGGATGAAATATCTTAAAATTTGTTCATAAATGATTTTTACATCACTTACAGAAAATTCCTGTCAAATTTAGAGTCTGTAGGAGCTATAGTTTGAAAAATAAAAATTTTCATTGTTAATGCTCACCCCCACAACCCCCTTTAGGGTGATCTATCATAAAATTCGTTCATAAACTATTTCTACATCTCTTATAGAAAATTCCTATCAAATTTGGAGTCGATAGGAGCTATATTTAAAAATCGGAAATTTTTCATTGTTAACGTCCCCGTAAACTCTTTTGGGGGAAGGATTTCTTAAAATCCGTTCTTAGCTGACCTCTACATGGTAAAAGTAATATTCCTACCAAATTTCAAGTTTTTAGGTCTGATGGTTCCCGAGATATCGTGATGAGTGACTATTTAGATAGGAATCTCTTATAATAATATAGATTTAAATATTTTTTTTTCTGATTATTTTCAAGTATTAATATGGTAAAAAAAAAACCCCCATTAGTGGCGGGGATCCCATTACTGATACTTTTTTGATTTTGGTACTTATTCATTTAATAAAATCATTAATTTTTATTATAAATATATTATTTCTAATCATTAAGACCTTTAGATCAAAAAAATTTTTAATTTTTATTTCAAATAGAACATTTTTTCATTGAAAAAAAAAATTCCACTAATATGGGCTTAGAGGTGCCACACAGAAAAAAAAAATGTTCTTGAATCAAGTATATATTTTTGAAGAGCTCAATATTCTTGGTTTGAGTAGCAAAATTCTTGATTTAAGGAAATTTCACTTAATTCAAGAATTTTTCGTCTTGATTCAAGACAATTATCCTCTTCAAAATTATATTCTTGGTTCAAAAATTTTTCTCTTGAATCAAGTTAATTTTTTTTTCTGTGCACTAATGGGGTCTTTTACCTTATTGTTATTTTCAAAAATAATCGTAGAATAGTCGATCTTTTTGAGTTCGAAAAGTGAAATAAATGATAAAATTTATTTGAGGTAAGATTCTACTTTGAGCGCTCGAACAAAGAATGTTGTGAACAATTTTTTATGAACTTATCTGAAAGTTTAGACTAAAACAGAAAATTTTCAGTCCTTAGAAACAACTATTTTCCAAATTTTTCTATATGTACACTGATAAAAAAGTTAACGATTCAAACGAAAAAATTTTGAACCAAGAGTGCTATTTTGAAAAATAATTATTTGCTTGAATCAAGAGAAAAAATTTTTAAATAAAAACAAATTTACTTGAATCAAAGATAATTTTTTAGCTTATTTTTTTTTTTTTAAATGATATTCTTGGTTTAAGATTTTTTCTCTTGAAACAAGTTAAATTTTTTATCAGTGTAAAGGAATACAAAATTTCAGATAAAATTTAATATTTATTTAAATTACTTTTGAACAATAGAAATAATAAACAATTTAACGTATAGAGCAATTAAACAATTAATATCTACATACTGTGAGCAATATGATCCTCTGTAATCATTGTTCTTTATATATTATGCGATGGATTAATTTATTATTTTTTTTTTTTAATCGTTAAATACAATGAGTAATTACTGGAATAGAATCTCGAACTATATATAGTTACAGTTATAAAAATCCAATTCAAGTGGTATGATCCCGTACTGTGGAATTTGAATAGAGTAACATAGCGATCATTAGTAACCGTTGACCAGCTTTTGAACAATGAGAGGAGGGATGAGAGCAAATAAAAAGCCAGCCGGTACAAAGTATTAATAGCAGTAGTAAGTAGAGTCGTGTGGCGCTCGTTTTTATTTTATTTCATTCCATTTCATTTCAATTGCGATTCAAATGTATAGTTACGGGCGTGCCACTATGCTATAGGGGATCATATTTTTGATGGACCAAAGTCATTATAAAACTTGAGGCGCCACACAAAGCAAAAATCTTTTTCTCCTTCCTCTGATTAATATTTCTGAATATTATCGATTTATAGTTACAAAATGCTACCATAACTCATACTGCAGCTGCAATTTTTTTTTTTCATATTTTCGTGTTTTTATTTATATTTTTTTTCTCCTGTTGCTCTTTATCTTCAACTCAAGATTACTTTGTAATGAACAAAGAAATCTCGAGCAAAATCACAGCGATTAACTGTGGAAAAAATATTAAATTTATGGCTATTAGCTTCAATTAGTATTCGTGAGCATGCACATCCAAAGAGAGGATAAACAGGAATGAGAGGAGCAAAAGAGAAAGAGAAAATGCATAGCTATGAGGCATCAAGAGAGTTTATGGTGTTGGATGTGCCAGGATACAAGATGGATGATACTTTTCCGGTATATTATTTTATTTGTTTGTGGGATTTAATAGCATCCTTTTTGCTTGTTATTAAAGTTTCACATGATTTATAGTTCAATTTACGCTTGTCAACAAATTGGGGAGATTATTTTTTATTACAATAAAATGTCAATGTTCTTTTTTTTTATGTATACCTTTAAATTGAATTAAAGGTTAAATATGCATTAGTAAAAACCAAGACAAAAAATTATATGAATTATTACTGCGACCAATTTTTTTAAGTTCATGGATTTTTTTTACAGAAAATTGTGGTTGATGTATTTCGGTTATTATTATTTTTTTTAAGTAAAAAATAAATGAAATATTTGTATTTTTTTGAAACTTCGATTATCCGAGTATTAATTTTCATGTCTGTATAAAAATATTTATGATACTAAAATAAACGGATATCTGATATTTTTTTTTTTATATTATAATACCAACAACATATTTTAAAAAAATTGCATTCAGAGATTTTTTTTTTCAAATTTCTAAGGGTGAAATTTTTTTATTATTTTTTTTTTGTAATAATTTGTTTGTTAAAAACAGTCAGATGTCTGTAAATTTCAGTATCAAGAAAATTTTAAATATAAAAAATAATTATTTTTAAGAAAAAAAGTTTATAAGTAATTATTTTATAAAATTTTTTTTTTCAAATTTCAGATACATCGTACGAAAAGGCGTGCAGAAGGGGAAGTGCTCCAGCTACACCAGTTTTGGGTGCACGACCTTTAGATGCAACTCCCAACAGAATCGTCGTAAGTGTTGTTCTTTCTTTACATAATAGTAATAAAAAAAATAGTATGTATGAATTGATTAGCAAGTCATATGTAAAACGTAAGCAACGGTCATTGTTTATTTTAGCTTGACATACGTCAGAATCTAGTTTTATTTTTCTAGAGCACATCGGTCCTATCCGTTCGTGTTGTCTTTTCCCCTTACATGTCTTTGGTGAGATTCATCTGGGTATTTGTTCGCTTACTTTCACCCATATTCCATGTAGCAAATGCCCAACCTACATGTTAAAATGACAATACAGAAAAACATTAGCATGATTCAATAGTATAAATATAACTATATACATATATGCTGAAATACAAATACTCGTAACTACAATACCAATTTGTCGTATTGATTTTTATTTTATTCCATTTTACATGCAAGAATTCAAATAACAAATACTAAAATACCTCACGATGACTCAAGGGTATTTTTTTTTCTACCTCCATTGGATACTTAAATAATTTAAATACTTCCATATACTGGATATTTAATTTTATTTGCTTGATAAAATCTTTTGTGTAAACTTAAGGTAACAATAATATTGTTATCGATCCCCAAATCCCAAATTTCAAATTTAAATGTCCCGTGAAAAACACGATTATAAGATTACCAAAACATACAATTAATCAAAAAATCAGCACGCGCGTGACCAAAAATTATAGACCATTAAATTATCCTTGTCATCACTAATATATTTTCTTTTCTTTTCATAAAGATGCCGTAATATTAAATTACACAAATCTACCCTTAAAATCAAACAAACATTTTGTTACTCATATATTATACTTATTACATACATAACTCAGTAGGGTGACAAAAAAAATCGACTCCTTCTTTTTTAAGCCCCTAATATATGGAAATATGTTAGTTTATCATGTCTTAACAAGATCTTTCAAAAAATCAGCTCATTTAATAAATTTTTAAAATTCACTCAAGATTTTTCTAAATCTCCAAAATTTTTAGAAACTAAAATTTTTATCTTTTTTATGATTCAATCATTATCTTCACAAATATTTAGTTACTTATTGAAAATTTCAACTTGATATTTTGATTTTGAGAGGCTGCTGAATTTTTTTTTGTAATTTTCAAAGCAGAATTGCAATAAATAAATTTTTCTAACAATTTATTTTTGATTTAGTTAATAATTAAATTATAAATAATTATTTGAACTCAAAACTTTTTTATAAATGCATCAAAATAATTGCTTTAATTAATCATTTTTTATTTAAGATCTTCAATTACCGTATTATTTAAAAAATTTTTATTATTTTAAACTCTGTTTCAAAGTAGATCAGTAGCCTAATTTAATAATTAAAACTTACAATTGTCAGCTTTTACAAAAATTTATCTTAGAAGAAAAAAATTTACTCTAAACTAGTAAAAAATTCTTGAGAAAAAAAATTTTTTTAAAGAAAAGAATCATTAAATTATTTACTCAAAGTAATAAAAAACATAACAATGATTATCCTAACACATAATAATTCAGAATGCGGAAATCTTCTTTTGCAATAAAAAAAAAAAGAAAAAAAAAACGTGCAAACGTTTTTCAGCATCCACTCGTCCGTGTTATACAAGATAGATAAAGAAGGACAATTTACGAAGTATTTAACATGTGAAAAGAGAGTAGAATTGATCTTCTGCCTCACTTTAATATAAGCGCTTCACATATAATAATATAATATGTAGACTTCAATGTGCAAGTAGAAGTAGATGTAGATGTAGTCTGGGGTTCTTTTTCGTTTGCAATACAAAGATGTACTCCCGGTGCTCAAGTGGAGCCCCAATGATCCCTTGACTTGGTTAGACGAATAAGGTGAGATGGTCTACAAGCATCTGCAGTCGTTTCTGAGATTTCGTTGTGCTATGAACACACTTGCTTAAACTGCCATTTTACTATTTTACTTTTATTTGCAATGCTAAATTTTATATAATTTTATGTTACTTTTACATGAATGTTATGTTATATTACCTTAATTGAAAATTTTGAATTAAAATAAAATGCACAATAAATATATGAGTATACTTATATAATTAAATACAATTGAATAAAACTGTGATTAAATTCAGATTTTTATAAAGGGAAATTGTGTCAAGTAAAACGTAATATCCTTATCATTGAAAATAGACAAAGACACTACAAGTGATAATCTTTTTTTTTTCACATATTGTGTTGTATGATGATAAAATTTTATAAGTAATATTATATGTATAAAACATATGTTTATATTAATTTATTAATGAATACAAAAGAAAATATTTAATAATAATATTTAAAAAATGTGTGTAAATGCGACGAAAGAAAATAATCAAAATAATAAAATATTCAACGTAATAATAAATTATTTTGCCACGCGGGTAAATATTGTTATTTAAAATATGACGTAAATAATTTTAAGGATGTAAGAAATATAATAAATAAATCCGAAAGTTATTAAAAACTAAATTTATACTTGAATGTTGAAAGTAGTTTATAATAATGATAGCTTTTATTAAAATGATAGTAGACCAAACCTCTCTAGAGCTATTATCATTTTTTTTCTAAAAAAAATTATTATCAACTGTTGTTAGTAAAATGATAATAATGTTTATTTATTTATTTCAGAACTTTTTTTCAAAGCGATCTTTCCGTTCAAATCCCTTGAAGAGAACGAAAAGTGTGACGAAACTTGAGCGGCAAAAGCAGCGGGGAGCTGGTCTAAGAGGTTGCCGTTCACACGAATCACTTTTGTGCGGACAAGCTGTAACATCAATGGATCTTGCAGCAGTTACACCATTACATCCAAGTCTACTAGGTAGACCACATTGTTTTCAAGTGACACCAAGTAATGGTCCACCAAAATATTTTAGCTGTCGAACGGCCCACGAAAGAGATCAATGGTTACACAGGTTAATAATCTATTGTTATTTAAAACCTCAAAATATGTATTTTGTATTTTATATTAATAAAAATCTATTGTTGTATTTACAGTCTGAGGAAGTCAGTTCAACCAGATGCTGAGCAAACTCGTCGAACAGACAATTCTTTGCAGATATGGTTACTCGAAGCCAAAGGTGTACCAACTAAGAAGCGTTATTTCTGTGAAGTATGTTTGGATAATACATTGTACGCTCGCACAACAGCTAAATTAAAAACAGAATTATGTTTTTGGGGCGAGCATTTCGACTTTCATCATTTACCTTCAGTCAACACAATACAAGTTAATTTGTACAGAGAGGCTGACAGGAAGAAAAAAAGAGACAAGAATGTACTGATAGGTTCCGTTAGTATACCCGTACAAAATGTTACCTCACGTTATCTAACTGAAAAGTGGTATCCAGTACAAAGTGACAAAGGAGTATTAAAAGAACCACCAGCGTTACGTGTTAAATGCCGTTTTCAATCAGTCGACATTCTACCTGTTCATGTTTATCAAGAGTTTCTTGAATATTTAAAAACAGATTATGCATCACTTTGCGAGAGATTGGAACCTGTTATTGGTGTTAAAGCTAAAGAAGACATTGCAACTGCGTTGGTAGCAGTAATGCAACGTGAAAAAAAAGCACCACAATTTCTAGCTGACTTAGTTATGATGGACATTCATCGGATTGACGATGAACGACTAACCTTCCGCGGTAATTCGTTAGCAACCAAAGCGATGGAGGCGTATCTTAAACTAACGGGTGATCGTTATCTTCAAGAAACACTGGGAGCTGTTGTCCGGGGTGCTGTTGATGGAGGGGACTGCGAAGTCGATCCTTTAAAAGTTTCATCATTAGCTGCGTTGCACAAACAACAGCAAAATTTACGTGCAGCAGTCGAATTAGCATGGAGTAGAATATTGTCCAGTCATGCACACTTTCCTCTTGAACTACGAGAATGTTTTAGAATATTCCGCGAGCGCTTAGCGGAACTGGGGCGTGAAGATATTGCTGACAATCTTATATCAGCATCTATTTTCCTAAGATTTTTGTGTCCGGCTATACTGAGTCCTTCACTATTTAATATAACACACGAGTATCCCAATGAAAAAGCAGCCAGAAATCTTACTCTGGTGGCTAAAAGTCTACAAACTCTCGCAAATTTCACGAGGTTTCAGGGCAAAGAAAATTTCATGGAATTTATGAACGATGTACTGGAACGTGAAGCGCCGGCAATGAAAAATTTTTTGTTATTAATCAGCAGTCCGGTATCTAAAGATGCACCATCCAATGATTCCCTCGAATTTGATGGATACATTGACTTAGGCAAGCAATTGTCATTATTGCACGCACTTTTGCGCGAAAGTATTGCTGGAACAAACTCTTCATCACCATCATCACCACCTTCCAAGCTTCCTGACATTCTTGATAGGATTTCTCATGCCTTGGATCAACCTAGACCTAGTCCTGTATCTACTGCTCATCGGTATCCAAGTCTTCAGAACAATATTTTCCGGTACAATGATCCAACATTAGCCAACAGCAATTCAAATCTTTCTGTGTCGGCATCGTCAACACTGAGTAATCACAGTACATTGAATGGTACATTGAGAGACAGTAATGAATTATTACAAAGCAATACTTTGGGACACAGTGGAAATGTAACACGATCACCGAATGTAATAAGAGCAGCAACATTGCCGCGAAATGCCTACCTTCCAACAAATGGTGGTAAATTACAATTACAAATAACGTCTGATGATTATCATCCATTAGAGCCACCGGCTTTTGTATCGCGATCACCAACTCCAGTTGCACGTCAGCAAAGACCCACTCTATTAAACCGTACGGGTTATCGATTAACAACAAGTGCTAGTCTTGCTAATGTAAATCACTCCCAAAATAATCCAACGAGCCCAATACGATCAGAGAGCCACAGTAATCTCAAAGATACTAATTATAACATTAATGTCAATCAAAGTAATCAGATAATAACCAGCACAGGAATTAATCAGCATCGACATCATAATCTACAAAGCAAATTGATTGGACATGATCAACACGATGATAATTACAATCATAATTACAATGTGTCTAGATCAAACAGTAGAAATCATTTCCACAAAGAAGATAATGCCAATCAAGGACAACAAAATTACAATAATAACATAACTAAAACAACAGTTAATGCTAATCCAATAAATATTAATCCTACGTCAAATTTAACGTTGTCGATAAATAATCAACCAAATAATAATTATAATAACGTTAAAGCAATTATCGGTACAAATGGTAATCTTGATGAAATTTCTGATTTATTGAGGTATGCTGATGATGAAGTGTCGGAATCTAAATCACAAAAAGGCTCACAGATATCAATATCACAATTGAGTAATGTTGCATCATCTGGATATCAAAGTTTTGCTGCTTATAGCCAAAGCTCCAGTCCTGTTGAACTTAGTAATAATGCTAATTCACATATCATTAGTGCTACGCCTCTTGCTTTTGCGAATCCAGTCTACCACATGGAAAGTACCCACGGAAGAAATGGTAGAAGAGGTAGTAGCAGCTCTGAAGAAAGAGAAGTTGGTAGCGGCGGAAGTGGTAATGGCGGTAACGGAGTTGAAGGTGTTTGTGGTGTTGATTTGAGTCCCTCACCACCTTCACAACAATCTAACAACATTAGAAATAATCAGCGAAATGGACAGCATCAGTGGAGACAAGCCAATTCAAATTATCGCAATGCTGAACAAAACCAAAATACATGTTGTACAAAACTTATGAGACGATTGTCTCTAGATTCAACGAGAGATTTATCGGACACCAGCGAAGAGGAAAATTGTCCGAATCGACGAAACAAGTCTCGTAGCCATCGAAATATCGATCAAGTATGTTTATATCAATATTTATTTATTAATTCAATAATATAATGCTATTCACGTTTTTAACGTTGGAATTAATTTTGTTTGTAATTAATTTACATCTTTAATTAACTAACTAACTGACCAAGTAACTAACCAAGTAATTATATTCGTTTGCAGTACGAGATGGAAATTGAACGACTACAAAATAGCGTTGATAGATTACGAGCACGATTAGGAGCTGCTGAGGATGCTGAAATTGATGGCAAAGCGCCTGATACTAAAATGAAGAATATTATTAGCAGGTATTTGCTTAATACAAATAATTTAATTAACGTTTTTTATAATCATTGGTAAATGTTATTAACAAAAAAAAAAAAAAAAAAAAAAAAAAAAAAACTGTATTTTTACATTTTTATAAAATATCTTCCAAATTTTAGTCACTTTTTATAACTACTAATTCCTATGTGTTAATCTTGATTAATACTCATATAAAATATATTTTATTAAAATTGTTACTATCAAAGATAAATGTAATTATTGTTAAATTTATTATGTGTTCCTATTGCATTCTATCTGCTGCATTTGGTAAACTGTGACTTTATCTGGATCTTGGTGTAAGAGTTAATTATTATTAATAAGCTTATTCGTTATTTTTTTATCATGAAAAAATATACATTAAACTTATTGTTCACTTTTTGTTTATTTACTCAGCACTTTCGTGATAACTTATTGTTATTATTTATTTATTCTTTTGTAAAGTAATAGTGTATTTGTTTTATTGTTTCATTATTGTACTACTCACTATTGTTGGGACAATATATGTCTATATAAATATTATATGGAACACACAGCAACTAAAATAAACTGCACGTGTCATGTCCACATGAAACATAACAATTTCTTACACACCAAATATAAATAGATCCACAGGTTTTTACGTAAAAAAATAAATAAAAATTTTATATTATTTAAATAAAATTTATAAACATTAAAATAAATATATACAATTAATTTTTTTTTTAACAGATTGATTTCTGTGGAGGAGGAATTACGCCGCGAGCAGCAAAAAATGTCTGCAGCACTTTCGTACAAGCAGCGCGTGATCGACGCCCAAGAACAACAAATAGCTGCTCTGGATGCAGCAAACACACGGCTGATGTCATCAAATTCAAGACTATTATCAGCATTAAGCACTCTTAAACAACGCTATAATATTAATAAAACACAGCCAAATAATAATAACGAAGCCGCAGCATTATTGCAGAATATTGCTGATATTAACGAGCTTAAAAGTTCATCTTGTTAAGAATTTATTTGTTTTTCTCATCAAAGACAAAAATTAATTAAAGTATTTTTGTTACTTTTTTTTTTTTTCCAATTAATATCGAAATACCGAAGATTATTAATATATTTATAATATCATTATAATTATTGATTTATTGTAAAATTATTTATCTGGATCTGTCACTCTGCTTCGTATGTAGGTTTGTTTAGAGGAGAAACAATTTTTATTGAAGTTAGTGGTGGCATATAGAGGCTAATTAGAGTAATAAATAATATTTCGATATCGATAGGTTTATAATTGGATAATTTTTACGAAAAGTTACATTTTGTATTATATTGCATGGGACATTATCGATAAATTTTTCATATAATACTATATAATAGATATTTGACTCTAGTTGACGAATTTTGTATTGTATTATTTTCAATTTTTTTCAAAACAATAATTTACGACAATTATCATTTTTTTTAAATCACTAAATGTTCATTACAAAAAACAAAAGTATTTTTATTTTTTTTTTATATCAGATATTTTCGCAGTCACAATTATTTTTCATTCATAAATACAACTATTTAAAATCAGAACTTTGGTTAAAATTAATAAGTATTAATTAAATGTGTATTATTTAATAAATTGTTAATATTTTTTTGTTTATATCAATTTTGTAATAATTAGTCCATATCGAGGAGATTAAATATTATTTTGAAATCGGTTATAAATTTTCAATTGGAAATTATGATATTTATTTAGCAATTGCTACCAAAGATACTGTGTATAAAATCTTGTAAGATAATGTGTTTTTATACTCTTATTATTGCTAATTTTTTTTTCTAAGATTTATTATTGAATAATTTTTAATAAAATAATTATAAATATTATTTTACTTTTTTTTTTTTAAATACACCGTTGTAATCATAAAGTCAGTCATGTCTTCATTGTAAACAATACAGATAAAAAATATTTATAATTTTAAATAAAATATGTTTATAGCTTTTTAACATCACAATTAAAAAATTAATTATAATTATATATTAAATCTGAGTGAATGAAAATATTATGAAGGAGATATACATATAAATAACAATAATGATTGGTGTGCATAACTGAGTGTAAATGAAGCAAACTATTTGACAATCGAGCTATTTGGCTGTTTGAGGTAAAATTTAGAATCCAACGGTAAAGATTAATTACTGTAAGGATGTAATTTCAAAAGTATTACTATTTAAATTTGTAAAGTGAAAAAATTCTTTAATAGATTTGTAGAATAATATTATTAGTTGTTAATATTTGCAAAGTAATTTTGTATAGAAAAACATACTTGTTTATCTTTTTTTCGTGTAATACTTATTATTATATGATTTAAAGATTAATTTATAATGTTAAGTATTTATATTAATAGTTGATACTAAATTAAGACAAAATAAAATTATCTCACTTAAATCAGCTATTACGTAGTATTAATAATTTTTTTTTTTTTATTTAATCTCATGTATTAAAAAAATTTTAAATAATCAAATACCGATAAATAAATTTAATTAGATCCAATAAGCTTTAATTTATTGAATAAAAATACGATTATCTCTGCATTATTTAATCAAACATTTTAAAAATACATTTTTTTTATTCACAATTACAAGATAATTTATTACAGTTTGATATATAAAAAAATAATGATGATTATTAAATTTAAATGGGTAATTAAACGCAAAACGATGAAATAAAATTATTATAACTATAGACATGTCTACATAATAATAATAATAATAATTAATAAATGCCGAAAAACTACCGGAGATTGCATTTAAAAAATAAAATTCAATACATTATACCTAGAATTCAATATCGTATTCAATTGCGAAACAATTTTGAGCAAAAATTTGGCGGTTGTACATATTTTGTTTTTTGACATAATTCAAAACCAATAATTAACAATAGATAATAACTAATATTTATTTATTTATTTAACTATATGCCAAGGCAAAAGCCGAATAGCAAAGATACATAACAATTTTATAGTCACATAAGTTAACTATGACTTATATTTATATAAAGTTGATTTAGTAAATTTAGAAACACAAAAATCAGTAAATTAATTTCAATACATTATTTAGAATAATCAAAAAAAGAAAATATTTAGTATTTTTGAAGTCATTTAAATTTAGTTTATATAATTTTACATGGATTTTAACAATTAATAATTTATTTTTTTGTAAGGTAAAAGACCCAGTTACTGACACTGGCCTAGGTGTTTGACACTTGCAATTTTATTCTAATTAAAAAAATAAAATTTTCTCAAAAAACCAATCATCTAAAAACTTATAATTCACAAATTGTATTTATTGATTTATTGGAGTTGGCTTTTTTTTCAATTATTAGATAATAATACGGCATTATATAATTCGTTTTAATTTGTCTGCCGATAATTATAACTATCAAGTGATCCTTGCGCGTAAAATGGATTAATACAGAAAAAATTCAGAATAAATCATCCGATGAAACAGTAGCTGTTGGTATTAATTTTATTATTTTATGTAAAGGTAAGAAATAATAAAATAGTAATATTATACTTATTAATAGTGTTTTAATTTTACATTTTTACATACTTAAAAAAGTATCTTTCTGTTTAACAATTTTTTTATTGTTGTAAGTCAAAAAATTTTTGAAAAAAAAAAAAAAGAAAAACTTTCTTAATAAAAATGAAGTGATTTACAATTTTTACTGCTGAACAAAATGTAAACAAAATTATTTTATGACTATAATTTAGAGTGATTAACTATCCATTTTCAGCAACTTTTATTTGTTCATTAAAAAAAAAATAAATACAAAAATTGAGATGTACTATTATAATAAAAATAATCATACTGTGCATCATCCAATTATTTAAACATGATTAAGAATTTTCTAACTCGTCGCCATATTTATTTAATCGTTCTTCAATTTCAGCCTCAGTTTCCTTAATTTTGTACTTTGTTTTTCCATCCCATATTTCAGCAATAATTTTCCTTTGATTAAACCAACGTCCATTCATTAATTCAACACATTTATCAGCTTCTTCTGGCTGACGGAACTTAACCACAGCAACTCCTTCAGGATGTAACTCGTGAACATCAACTTTTGTGACATCACCGCACTTGGCACACTCAGATTGAATATCTTGTTTATATTCAAGACTAAGAGTTATATCTTTTTCAAAATCTTTTGGTGTGAATAAATTTTTCAACACCACAACTCGATGACACTTGAGCGGTTGGTTGGGTAGAGGTTCCGGTGTCCAACCCAAAATTTTTTCCATTTTTTTCTTTTGCCGATCTTTGTCTTTTTTCTTACGCTTCGGTTTAAGAGATGGATCGTACGTGCCTTTTAATTGAAATTTAGCACGCTGAGCCGATAATGTTTTACCCCGGATTCGAGTACCATCAAGGAACTTTAGCGCAAGATCTACAGATTCGATTTTTATGTATGTACAGACAGCATCACCCTTTGGATTCCCTTCAGGATCAAGATATAATTTTATTTTATTTTTATTTTTGTCATCACGAGCAATCACGCCGTACTTTTCAACTAACTCAACAAGTTCATCCATCGAAATGTCTAATGGCAATCCAGAAATGTAAACGGATGTATTGTGAGCATCATCAATTTCAAACCACGTTGGTGGCTCAGCAGCTTTTCTTTTGAGTTCCTGTTTCTTTAGTTCTTTTTCAGCTTTTGTTTCAACTTTTGGCGGTGGTGGCCTAATTACTGTTCCTGTGGGAGTATCATTAGTGGTATTTGGATCTACGAAACCGTAATTCATTTGATATATTGCCATAAAATCATCATCTACCTTGGGAAACCAAGCGTTTTTTTCTGAATCCCAAAAATATTCAATATCATTATCCGTTTGACTTTTATCGCCATTACTATTCAAGCAAGTTGCTGATACTTGATCATCAGCTCCTTTAGCATCTTCTCCAGAATTACCCTCACCTTTTTTTGTATCATCTTTGACAACCCATTCATTTTTATCTTGGTCAAATTTATAAGCTATATTTGTTGTTTTATCAGTGTAAATATAATTATTTCCATCATATTCATAATTTTTCATAATTTCAGCATTATTTTCACTTTCTGTTTTATCTTTAGGGATCCATTTATTTTCTTGGGCATTCCAAACCAACTTGTTACCAGTTTCGGGTTCAGTATAAATACATAAATCACCCTCATATGTTAAATGCTTTGAATAATCTGATGAAACATCGTTGGAAGCTGATTGTTTTTCAGCCACTTGTTTATTTTTCTCTTCCAACTTTTCAGTCTTATCATTATCATCACCATCTTCGTCGTCGTCGTCTTCATCCTCTTCGTCATCCTCATCATCATTATTATTATTTTTTACTTCAGAAACTTCTACTATTGGTTTATCTGAACAAGTTTTTTCATTTGATTTTGACTCATTGTCCTGAACATCAAGTACCTGCGTTGTGGAATTATTTTCATCCGACTCTGGAGACTTTGATAATTCATCCATAGAACTATTTGGAGCAGTCATTTTTATTCATTTAATATTACCCTATAATCAATTACAAAATTATTATCAACGTTATTTTACAACTTAAAAATAATAAAAAAATTTTAATCTTACTTGAAAATTAACAATATTCACGTGAGTTTCAATTGTTGACAGATATTGTTGTTTATAATAAAGCTTGTCAATGCACGTTAGAGCTATCAGCTGTCAGCTGATGTTTGCTAAGTTAACCTCACTACTCGTTTAATTACGTTTTATAACAACGTATGTATTCTTAATGAAACAATTAATAAAAAAAAAAAAATTATTTTATTAAACTAAGCTTATAAATAATTATTTTAATTAAAATGTGTAAGAGAAAAATGATTAAACTCAAGTGAACTTTTGGAGCTTATTACTCAACTTTATCACAATTTGCTTGAAATATTTTGTTAGTATAGTTGCTCCATCTATGTCAATAAACTCCAATGATACAAATATCTTTAATCAAGCGCGAAATACAAATTTTATG